ACATATTAGATATTTCAAGTAAAAGTTTTTTACAAAGTAAAAGTCGAATGAATCATTCAATTGTTTGAATATTCATATGTGTTATATAATTCAAATATATAAGTAAGGTTTTTTCTTTTTCTTTTTATACTTAATTAAATCAAAATTTTAATTACAAAAATGTCTTTAACAAATTTTTCAAATACCACTGCTGCTACTTGTTTTCAATGGTCAAATAATTCGACATATGTATTCATTAATAAACAAAAAAATCGCAATTAAGTAAATATTTTATTTATTTATTTAATTTATAAAATAAGTATAAATTGCTTTTTAAATTGTTAAGATAGATTATATATAATATTTTTCTAGGAGTATCATAACATAAAAGGAATCTTACAAAAAGAATTTTAGCGAAGTGTTATGAGGAATGTGAATGATACCTGTAGAACTGCATTTTTAGGACTTCAATGCTAATATAAATTCAGTTCTTTAGTTTCTCAATATAATATAAGTAAAATAATAATTAAAAGAAAACATGTATTTTATATAAGTAGGTTTAATAACTTATTTTTCTCTTTTCTTTCTTTTCTATCTTTCTTAGAATATGTGATTAAAATAGGTTAATGATCCTAGAGGCAGTGTTGTACACAGACGTTGTCCCGGTGATTTTTGGCGGACACAGGACGTCCGAAAGTCCATGTCCGGGACTGTGTCCGCAGGACAGTTGGGACATGGACCGATATTAGATATCTTTTGGCCAGAATTAACAAGAGATATGGCCAGCATTAATGCGTACAAAAAGTCCCAGACATAAAAAAATCTCGGACATGGACACGGACAGTCCGGTCCGGTCTGGTTCATGTCCATGTCCGCGTCCCATGACAACACTGCCTAGAGGTAAGCGAAGTTAGGCTAGCAGAAAATATTTTGATAAATTTGATACATGCTTCTGAAAGTTGTCAGGTAAATGAGAATAATTTTAGTTAAATTTATATTTTGATTACTATATATTTATATTTCTATTTAGTTTTATGCTTAAATATTAATTTTATTTGTATTTTAATACTATTTAAATGATATTCATAATAATAAACAATGAAGAACCGTAAAGGTTTAAGAACAACAGGATACCTGAGTAGGTAAAAAATTTGTTTAATTATAATTTCAAATTCTTTTATTTTAATGTAAAGAAGTATTTATACAAAAATTTTTTAATTATAATAAATTTTTTAGGAATACAATGTAGAACTGAAAAAGAAGCTAGCCTATCCTCTTCAGATATAATTGTAATTGATGATAATGATAATGATGATAATGATAACAACAATAATAACAACAACAATACTACCACTATCACCACCACCATTAATAACATAGTTAATAATAATATTATTATTTTATAAATTTTTTTTTTATTTTTTATTTTTATTTTATTATAATTTACAAACAAATATCTTTTCTTTTTTTTCCTTTTTTTTTATAAATTTGCAAACATTTTTCTTTTTTTTTTTTTTTAATATACAAACATTTTTTCTCTTTTTTTTCCAAACATTTTTTTTTTTTTTTATATCTATTTATGAATATTTTTTTTTTATATATATTTACAAATAATTTTTCTTTTTCCTTTCTTTTTTTATATATATATTTATTTACAAACATTTTTTCTTTTTTTTACTTTTTTATATATTTGCAAACTCTTTTCTTTTTTTCTTTTTTTATATATATTTACAAACAATTTTTTTTTCTTTCTTTTTTATATAAATATTTATTACAAACATTTTTTTCTTTTTTTTATATATATATATTTGCAATTAATTTTTTTTTCTTTTTTTATATATATATTTGTGATCTTTTTATTTTTTTTTTTCTTTTTTATATATTTGCGAAATTTTTTTTTTCTTTTTTTATATATATATAAACAATTTTCTTATTTTGCTTTTTTAAATTTTTTTTTCTATATTAAACAATTTTTTATCTTATTTATATAAATTTTGCAAACTTTTATTATTATTATTTTTATTATTATTTAATATATATTGTGAACATTTAATTATATTTTATTTTTATATTGCGAACAATAAATTTAATTACTAATAAAAAGAATTTCTAATAAAATAAAATTTTTTACTAATTTTAAGTATAATAATAATCATATAATGAATATAAAAAATAGTTTAGTATAACTTTACTGAATTTTCTCATTATAACAAATCATATTCTCTAAAAATTAAAATTTGCTATAGAAAACTTCAACTATATTAAAATATTAGTAGAAAATGCTTGTATACAATTTGCAAATCAAATCAAATATTTGAAGATTAATTTGAATTTGATTGAATTAAATCAAAGATTAATTTATATTACTGGTCGAAATCAAAAAAATCACCATTTGCCATTCATTAGCAATTCAGACTAAATTCAGAAATTGGTCAAAAATCAGCCATCATATTTATGACCGATTTATGGTAGATTAGAGTTGAGCCAAAAATCAACTTCAATTGGTCCAATAGGATAATACAAAAATTGTCTGATTGGAAAAAGATATGATAGTAACAATCGTTCCAAATAGAACAATATAATCATTGTCCCAAAAGGACGATTTAATATCATTCCAATCAGATGATGCAAAATCATCTGATTGGAACAATTAAACTATTGTCCCAAAAGGACAATATACTATCATTCAAATCAACATCATCATTTAATCAGATGATGAAAAGTTATCCAATTGAACAATCAAATCATTGTCCTCTAAGGGACGATACAATTTATTCAATAGAAATGATATTTTAATTAAACAATATAACAATCATCCAATTGGCTAGAACAATTATAAATAACTTTCAGATTAATCTGAAAAAATTTTTTACCTTTTTTCTTTCTTTTTTCTGTATTTTTTTTCTAATATTGAAGATTTTTACCATTATTTTTATGTGGTAAATCATTTTTTGGATGAAAATTTACTATTTTCCTTATTTTTTCTTTTTTTTTAAAAAAAATTTCATTTTAAAAATAAGTAAATCAGAAATAAGTTTTTGGGTGGATTTTCCTTTATTTTTCTTATTTTATAGGAAAATTCTCATTTGAAAATAAGATAAGTAAATCGGAAGTAAGTTTTTGGATGGATTTTCCTTTCTTTTTCTTATTTTTTAAAAAAATTTTTCATTTTTAAAATAAGAAATATAAATCTAAAGTGACTTTTGATAGATTTTTTCTTCTTTTCTTTTTTTTTAGGAAAATTATCATCTTAGAATTAAGGTAAACAAATCGTTGGTGAAATTTTTGGGTGAAATTTTATCATTTTCTTTTCTTTTTCTATTTTTTTTTAGAAAATTTCTTTTTTTTGTTTTTTTTAAGAAATTTCTCATCTTGAAATTAAGATAAGCAAATCATTGGTGAATTTTTTGGTGAAAATTTATCATTTTCTTTTCTTTTTCTTATTTTTTTTAAGAAATTTCTTATCTTTAAATTAAGGTAAACAAATCGTTAGTAACCTTTTGGGTGGAAATTTATCATTTTTCTTTTTTTTTCTTATTTTTTTTAGGAATATACTATGATAAATCAATCAAAGATAGAATTTTTGATTCATTTCTTTATTTTACTTTATTTTTTATATATATTGAAAGTGTTTCTTTTTAAAAAATTTAAATTTATCAATTATGTAAAATAATAAAAATATAAATTTAATAAATTGAAATAAATTTAAATTTGTTATATTAG